CACATCGCGCTCTCACCTGCCGCCATAGTTAATAAACAAAGATTATAAAAACAAAAACAGGGCACCCTGGCTTGCAGAGCATGCAGAAAGATGCAGTTACATAATGTGTTTGCTTTTAGTGGCAATATTGCATTAGCTGGTTACACAGGACACTCACTAGAGGGAAAACATAAGTGACAAAGCTCTTGACTCACATCGAGAGAGACTGGGTCGTTGGTGGTGAAAGCGACAACTTTTGATACGCCTGGTGGCAGCTCGGGGCACATACACTGAATTTTTCATAATTGCAGGCTTCATTGCTTCAATCTCTGCATTTCTGATACAGTCTTCAAAAAATTCTAAAGGAAAGTTCCATAAAAACAGTTATTACACCAATACCACCATGAACACCACCAACATCACAATGCAGTAGACTGTCTATTTAAAATAAACCAACCACAAAGGCATCTTCTGGTGCATTAACTTACTAGAAGTCCTGCTACTTACCCCCTTGATCCCACTGCCATCTGGTTTAAAATCTGGCACTTTCAGGTATGGGAGGATGTGTGACACTCCCCATGCAGTCTCAAAATGCTGTATTTAGTATCTGAGTTGCCAAATGCTATGTTCACATACACTGTATAGGGTGTGCCTAGCAATGTGCAAGTTTCAACTTCAGGAAAAGTCAATGACAATGGGAACAAGATGGTGGGATGTAAAGCTGGAGTATATGCATAATATACAATGTGCTGATGATGGGAGCAACTGGGTTTTATGGGCGTAGATTTTATTTTAACATATTTTTATTATTCAAGGAAATCCCTTTAGGCAATTAAAATAACTTGAAAATTCTCTGTAGCAGAGTTGTATACATTCAAAATTTTCGGTGTTCTACCTGGCCCATTGTCATTATGTGAGTAGTTGTAGTCCAGTGCCATACAGATACATAATTCACCATTTTATTCGTCTTCTGGCATTCTGTTGTGCAGTTGAATAAGTGTCGGTTCACAATGATGGAGTGTGGGATTCAAATTGATTCCTGTGCGTTTCCTGCACTGCATCACAATTGCACTACGACCTACTGAGGAAGCCCAATCACAGGGCATAACATATGAAAGGAGGAGCCGAGCGTGTGACGTCACCCCACGGCCATTTTGGAAATCTATGTTGTGAGCTGCAATCTATGTGAACATTAAGCGCTTTGAAGGTTTTTAACTCTAAGTTTTTATAATCTTCTAGGGCACTAATAAAGTGGAAAGTAGAGAGCACTATGGTTCTGCTTTCTTGTTTTATGCTACCAGGGGCGGACTGACCATTTGGAAACTCTGGCACTGCCCGAGGGCCCGGGGTCAGTAGGGGGCCCCATGAGATGCCCCTGGTACCTTTTTCATAGGCTTTTTTGAGTTTGGGCAAGGACACAGGGGCCCCATGATCCCCTATTGCCTGGGGGCCTCATGATTTGTCAGTCCGCCCCTGTATGCTACCCATATTCCTTGATGTCTGAGCACTGTGGAGCAGAGAGATTAGTGTGAATCTGGACCAAGAGAAGTGATGGAGTTAATTTGGGAGAGTGTAAGAAGTGAGTAATGACCTATGTATGAGGTGTGACAAGGAGGTGAGCATGTTTTTCACCTATCTGTGGAGGCACGCATGACGTGTGATGAAGAGTGAAGATTTTTTAATCACTTTTTAGATAAATCACAGCTATTGAGGACTGATTTCACATGTTTTCTGGACTGATTTGACTATTTTCGTTGCACTACATAGTTTGCTTGTCACATATAGCTGTGCTACACTATTTTTGTGTGGTATATTATATTTGAAGGAAGTGTTGTGGAATTGCCTGTACAGTGTTTGAGCGGAAAGAAAAAACAAATAGTATTTACATTTTTTATTATTTTCAGTTATTTCACTGATATTTTAAGCTCAGGTTGCACTGACTGCATTTTGGTTTTAAGTTGTAGCATTAAGTCCTCATGCACACTTGACGTTTTTACAGCGGCTGTTTTTGGCTTTTGGTGTTTTTTTCTACAGCCAGTAAACCCCCCAGCATGTTATCCTATGTGTGGTGGGAGGGGCAATTATTGAAACCAATCCCCTGTATGCAGAGGCGGACTGACAAATCATGGGGCCCCCGGGCAATAGGGGATCATGGGGCCCCTGTGTCCTTGCCCAAACTCAAAAAAGCCTATGAAAAAGGTACCAGGGGCATCTCATGGGGCCCCGTACTGACCCCGGGCCCTCGGGCAGTGCCCGAGTTTTCCAAATGGTCAGTCCGCCCCTGCCTGTATGACATTCTCTGCAGCAGCTGAAAGTTGGATTCTTCTCCTCTCCCTCCTACTGGCTTCCAGCTGCTGTAGAGAGAGACATACAGGGTTTCGGTTCCAATAATTGCCCCTAGCCACACCCATCACCCTCCCTGTGCACCATTTTCCTCTGCTGCCCAGGCCCCCCGTGTGCCCTCACCCCCACAGTACTGCTGGCTTACCTCCTCTCCTTTCAGCAGCTGCAAGCACACAGTAAGATCTTTCAGGATGGAGAGTGGTGGAAGGGTCCGGTAAATACTTCACATTTACCAGCCCCTTCCTTTCCTGAATGAACACAATGAGTGATTGGTACCAATCACTCATTGTGTACATCCATAACTAAAGCATAGTAAACTATGTTTTTTTTTTTTGGAAGGGGGGGGGCCCTGCCAGGTTGCCTGTATGGGCAGTTGTGTATTTAGGTGTTGTGCTGTTCTAGGCAATACAGAAATTGGATGCCCCCAAGCGAACCTTCCACTACCACCCCCCCCCCCCCCCCCCCAGCAACTCTGGCCATCCCCAGGAACAACAGCTGGGCCCTGCATACACTATCAGGCAGCCTTCAGCCTCTCTCGGATTTCAACTGGTCTCCATGCAGTTTATGTCCCTTCTTTTGGGGGGGCATTGCTGCCCCCCTAAAAAATGCTACCCTAGCCAAATGCCTTGTGGTAAATACACCCCTGTGTATGGGGCCCCAGAGTTTCTAACAGCAGCCCTGGGCATGGCAGCCCAATTCATTTTCTGTGAATGTTCAAATGAAAACCTAACTGTGTTTGGTCAGGCTTAGACAGTTGTCACCATTGTAAGATTTACCTGTGGCTCTTGTTCTAGTGATAACTAAGATTTTAAATTTCCCCTCATTTCCTGTCTCTGTGTCAATGTTCATTCATCTTCTTCAACTACATCTCACAAAAAGGTTACCAGAACAGTAATCTGATCTGAGTATATTAATTAGAGATCTTTAAATGACCACAATGAGCAAATTAATTTAGAAAATTCCTATACTAGCAACTCACATTTCCCAGAATGCTTCTTTGTAGAGCTCTCATGTTTGAATCCCTTTAAACATCTTCCACTAGCTGTCAGCCACAGTCTACAGAGCCTCACTATTTCTTTTGCTACTTAAACCAACGCTTTCTCCACTTTGTTAAATATAATTGGTTATCGAAATCATGTATAATTAAGCCTGATAAGGGTGTTGGAAGTTACATCTTCTCAGAAATTGAATAGATTTAATGTTTTCTGAATTATATAAATTCTGTTTCTGAATCTTGTAAAAACATATTTATTGAACAGAATTCCAGAGTGAAGTGAGAAAATGCAAAAGCCCATTTCCGGACCATATGACTATACTTACTTTTAAGATGACTGACATCTGCCCTCATTTTTTCCTCCTTGTCTTGGTTTAGGACAGTAGAATTCAGACCTGCTTCCAGCCTTCGCAGAGCCTCCTCTGCCTCCCGCAGCCTCCTCTCCAGATCTAACTGCACCTTTAACTGCAGCTGTGGGTGACAAAGCAGTATGGGAAGTGTGAAACATCTTATTGTATGGAGATCACTAAAGCCCTATAATGCTCTTGTACTGGTAATTCTATGTAGTCAGGTTCTGGCTATATCATTGTGCCTTTATATTTACACACGAGACTATGAATTATCCTTTTTTCCCTAGTGCCCAGTACTGGGACTGCTACATCAACTCCTGTTAGCAGAGTGGATCCAGTTCTTCTGACAGCCCATGATCTTGGGACTTGTAATTCTCTATAGCCAATACATACTGTATTTCTGAGTGCTGTTTAAACTACAACTACCACAGAGCTGGGGAACTAGAAGGATGCTGGTAGAGCAGATATATTCTACAGCAAGGAACTGCCTCTCTCTCATGATGTGGGATTCAGAACTGAACACAGGGGGACTGCCGTTCTCCTCCAGAAACAGATTGCTGGCCTTCTGCTGTGGAAATCTGCACATCAATTTAGCACAGCGGTGATGCCGATCGCCGCAGCTCTCTGCATCGGGACTGCTACTGGCTGGTCTTGCCACAAACATCTCTGTATGCCATACTGATCAGGCAGTAACTCTGCACATCTTTCAAACAGCCAAGAGCCTGGGCAAGAACCTTGTTCCTAGGAGGCTGTCCTGTCCATAAGATTGGTGAGCGAGCGAATGCCCAACCTCTTTCTGTCATCACTCTAGAGACATTTACCTTTACACCTCCATTACCAGGAGACCTTTGCTTTGAGCAGTACCATGGCTTACCTTTTTAACTTTATTGAATTACCAGTATTCACTAATGTTTATGGGCCACACCATTGCTAGCAGAAGAGAGCGGATACCACCATATCAGGAACTTTAAACATCACAGGACTCAAGTTGCAATCTCTAGTTAAAGGGACCATTTCTCTTCTAAAGCCATTGTTACTAAACGTAGGGTATTTATAGCTATTTGTGCCAGAGTATAAAGTACATATACATAATTCTCTGTATACCCCATCGATCGGTGGCATGGAGGAAGCTGATAAGTCAAAAAGACTTTTTGTCAGGGCTCCCAGGTATGACCAGAGGTGTGTGACTGAAGCAGGGAAATGCAGACTTCAGATATGTGATTAACAATGTAATTTATTAACACTAACAATACAAACATAAACGCAGTGCAATACTAAACATAATACAGTGCAAACAAACCCAACCAACCACCCACAGATAACAGTACATACAAGCAAGCGTCGTCAGGCAGGCCGAGTCAATATCAATTGGGCAGGTAGGTACAGGGGGAGCAAGCGGAGAATGGTCGGGGTCACAGGCCAGGTTCAGCAGGTAGCAAGCAGCGTAGTACAGAGGGTCAGGCAGAGGGTTGGTCAGGGTCACAAGCCAGGGATCAGAACAGGTAGCAAAGGAACAGAAACAGGATGCAGGACAGATACAGGGCCCAGGACAAACACAACACCAAGGCAGAGTCTGCAAGTCTGGCCATCCCTTAAATACACCAGTATCATCAGTTCCAGGTGTTAGCTGGCTGAAAGGTTGAGTCTCTGATTGCTGGGAGCACCCGCTGGCCAGCCCTGGTACTGCAGATCAAAAGGCAGGTGAGTCCCACCATTGCTGGCCAGTCCATTCCTGACACTTTTCTTCCCCCTCTTGCTGTTGGTGTTGCAATTAAATAGTTGAAGTTTACTACTCATGACTGTATAACCCGTGCTATATGATTATTCCTATTTTACCAGTGTTCTGCTTTTATACATTAACTGGGCTTGTATATCCTAAACCCATTATTCCTGTAGCCTACTCTTTTGAACAAGTCTAATATAGAGTCGTGTCTAAAGAATTATGTCTCTTGCATTATTATTCTATACTGCTGAAGTATGTCTGGACACAGAGGGGTTTATTTACTAAAGCTGGAGAGTCCAAAATCAGACTCCCTTCTTGTCAGGGCAGGAACGCTGGAATGGGCAGGCAGGCCTATGGTACGGTCACGCTGCGACTGATGACAGCCACTACCCACAGACCGGAGTCCCTCAGGGCGCGGAGTCTAAGCCCCAGGCTACACTTCACCAGGGCCCCTGATGGTGGGGATGGACTTGACGCAGCCTGAGACCAGGTCGCAGCCCCCGAGTGACCCCAGCTGCGATAACAACTGCCGCCAATGGCGTACAGCTGGTGGGAGCTAGATGGGAACACGAGTAGAGTGGTCAGACAAGCCGGGTCAATAACAATGGAGCAGACAGTACTAGACGGTAGGCAAAGAATACTCAGGTCACGGGCCGGGTTCAGCAACGGGAGGTCAGGTAAAGGGTTAACACAGAGAGTAGTCTTGTCAAAGCCGAGTCGGTTACCAGGAGAGCAATGGGAACAACACAAGAGCTTGCAACAGGGCAACATACAGGACACAAGTGCAGAGCACACTTGCAGACAGCAGGTTTAAATGTGCTCAACCACACCCTTCTGAGGAGGAGCCGCAGAAACCTGAAGGCATAAAGGTTCCCACCATGCTTTGCAGAAAATCAAGATGGATGCCAGCTCATGGAGATGCACAAGCTCTGAAGAAAGGTAGGACCTTGACAGTACCTCCTCCTCAAGGGCCCCTCCCCCTCCGCGGCTCAACAAAAGGTTTCTGAGGAAATCGGGTGTGAAAAGCGCGGAGGAGGGCAGGAGCATGAACATCCGCGGAAGGAACCCAGGAACGTTCCTCGGGACCATAACCACGCCAATGGACCAGAAACTGTACCCGACCGCGGACCAACCGAGAATCCAAGATGCGGCTCACCTCATACTCCTCATGGCCGTCGACCCTGATAGGACGAGGCCGAGGCGGAGAGGCAGTAAAGCAATTACAGATCAGAGGTTTCAACAGGGATACGTGGAAGACATTGGAGATGTGCATCCCAGGAGGAAGAGCAAGGGCATAGGCAACCGGGTTCACCCTGCGAAGAATGCGGAAAGGACCAACAAAACGGGGGGGCCAGCTTTGGTGCGGGCACCCGAAGCTTGAGGTTGCGAGTGGACAACCACACCCGATCTCCGGCCTGGTATGAGGGAGCGGGCAACCGTCTACGATCAGCCTGGAGCTTCTGGCGCTGTGCCGAGTCCTTCAAGGACCTCTGAATCTGCCCCCATGAGGAGCGCAGAGCAGCCAGGTGGTTATCCACAGCCGGAATGTCCTGTGGAGAGAACAACTCAGGCAATACAGCGGGTTGGAACCCATAGTTGGCCATGAAGGGGGACATCCCAGAGGAGGAGTTGACAGCAGAGTGTCAGGAATGGACTAGCCAGCAGCAATGGTGGGACTCACCTGCCTTTTGATCTGCAGTACCAGGGCTGGCCAGCGGGTGCTCCCCGCAATCAGAGACTCAACTTTGCAGCCAGTAACACCTGGAACTGATTATGCTGGGGTATTTAAGGGATGGCCAGACTTGCAGACTCTGCCTTGGTGTTGTGTTCTCTTGGGCCCTGTATCCTGTTCCTGCTCTCTGTTCCTGTCTGATTCTCTGCTGACCCTGCTCTGATCCCTGGCTTGTCTGACCATCCCTCTGCCTGACCCTCTGTACTACGCTGCTTGCTACCTGTTCTGATCCCTGGCTTGTGACCCTGACCATCCCTCCGCCTTACCCTCTGTACTACGCTGCTTGCTACCTGCTGAACCTGGCCTGTGACCCCGACCCATCTCCGCTTGCTCCCCCTGTACCTACCTGCCCTATTGATATTGACCCGGCCTGCCTGACGACGCTTGCTTGTATGTACTGTTATCTGTGGGTGGTTGGTTTGGTTGCACTGTATTATGTTTTAGTATTGCACTGCGTTTATGTTTGTATTGTTAGTGTTAATAAATTATATTGTTTATAACATATCTGAGGTCTGCGTTTCCCTGCGTCAGCCACACACCTCTGGTCACACCTGGGAGCCCTGACATTACACCAAGGCCAATCCTGACCAGAAGTGGCTGCACAGGGAAGCCATCTTGGCTTGTTGCTGGGAAGGATGGATCTGGATGAGGTTGTGTATTTATATCTGCTAGTGTTTGATGACAGGGAGTATGCTTATCAAACTCTGAAGGAGTATCCCAGGGATCCACTACTAGAATGTATATACGGCTCGCTCATGTTCTAGTACATCAGGGCACAGAGTTCTCTGAGGTGCAGCCTTTGATTGAGGTTTGTGCTGAGTTGGTTTCATCTGGTTCCCCTGAATGCAGGGATGAATTTTTGCCACCATTTAGTGCAGACCAGGTAGAGTCCCTGGTGTGGTTATTAGAGGATGATGTGGGTTACTTTCTGGAGCGTTATTCCACATGTTCACCACAGACACTAAGAGATTGTATAAACGCAGTGCAGTCATTGACCAGACAGGCTTTGTGTAAGCTCAGCTTTGTTCAAACCCATACTGCAGACATGGACAGACTTGTTGCACCCAGCCTCAGTCAGCTTACAAAAACCCAGTCCTGCTTCTAACTCTACTCCTGTATTCCCACCAGCTCCTCCAGTTACAGCCCAGTATACTTGGCTATCTACCGCATGTCAGTACCTGTTGTTCCCACTCGCTGCACCTATCCTGCCTTTAACCCTGTAAAAAAAGCCCTCTGTAGCAACTGCTCCCTCTCCTGTTCCATCCTCCAGTTTTTCTCTGTCTCCAGCTGCTCCATTCGTTTGCAGACCTGCGTTTACTTGCAGTGCTCCAGTAGTTAAAACCAGGAAAAAGCGAAAATTCTTTCCAACCAATACCATCCTGCCAGTATCCAAACCGGTGAACCTGCCTTCCGTGACTCAGCCTGAAGCCTCTACTCAGCCTGAAGCCTCTACTCAGCCTGAAGCCTCTACTCAGCCTGATGCCTCTACTCAGCCTGATGCCTCTACTCAGCCTGATGCCTCTCTTCAGCCTGATGCCTCTCTTCAGCCTGATGCCTCTCTTCAGCCTGAAGCCTCTACTCAGCCTAAAGCCTCTACTCAGCCTGAAGCCTCTACTCAGCCTGAAGCCTCTACTCAGCCTGATGCCTGCATTCAGCCTGATGCCGCTACTCAGCATGATGTACTGATCCAGCCCGACGATCCTATTAGGCCAGTTGACTCGAGGCCCGCTGTTGATCCAGATGATCCGGTACCTGATCCAGTGCCCGCTGTCGTGCCAATTGACTCAGAGCCCGCTGTCATACCTGGTGACCCGGTGCCCACTGCCTTGCCAGATGACGCGGTGCCCGCTGGCAAGCCAAATGACCTGATGCCTGGTGACCCCAGTGCCCGCTGTCATACCTGGTGACCCGATGCCCGCTGTCGAGCCAGACAATCCGATACCTGATGACCCGGTGCCCACTGTCGTGCCTGTTGACTCGGAGCCCACTGTCAGACGACTCGGTGCCCGCTGTTCCGCCAGTCGACTCGGTACCCGCAGTCTTGCCAGACGACTCGGTGCCCGCAGTCTTGCCAGACGACTCGGTGCCCGCAGTCTTGCCAGTTGACTCTATGCCCGCTGTTCCGCCAGTTGACTCGATGCCCGCTGTTCCGCCAGTTGACTCGGTGCCCGCAGTCTTGCCAGACGACTCGGTGCCCGCAGTCTTGCCAGACGACTCGGTGCCCGCTGTTCCGCCAGTTGACTCGATGCCCGCAGTCTTGCCAGACGACTCGGTGCCCGCAGTCTTGCCAGACGACTCGGTGCCCGCAGTCTTGCCAGACGACTCGGTGCCCGCTGTTCCGCCAGTTGACTCGATGCCCGCAGTCTTGCCAGACGACTCGATGCCCGCAGTCTTGCCAGACGACTCGGTGCCCGCAGTCTTGCCAGACGACTCGGTGCCCCGCAGTCTTGCAGACGACTCGGTGCCCACTGTTCCACCAGTTGACTCGATGCCCGCAGTCTTGCCAGATGACTCGGTGCCCGCAGTCTTGCCAGACGACTCGGTGCCCGCAGTCTTGCCAGACGACTCGGTGCCCGCAGTCTTGCCAGACGACTCGGTGCCCACTGTTCCGCCAGTTGACTCGATGCCCGCAGTCTTGCCAGACGACTCGGTGCCCGCTGTTCCGCCAGTTGACTCGATGCCCGCAGTTCCTTGCCAGACGACTCGATGCCCGCAGTCTTGCCAGACGACTCGGTGCCCGCAGTCTTGCCAGACGACTCGGTGCCCGCAGTCTTGCCAGACGACTCGGTGCCCGCAGTCTTGCCAGACGACTCGGTGCCCGCAGTCTTGCCAGACGACTCGGTGCCCGCAGTCTTGCCAGACGACTCGGTGCCACTGTTCCGCCAGTTGACTCGATGCCCGCAGTCTTGCCAGACGACTCGGTGCCCGCTGTTCCGCCAGTTGACTCGATGCCCGCAGTCTTGCCAGACGACTCGATGCCCGCAGTCTTGCCAGACGACTCGATGCCCGCAGTCTTGCCAGAACGACTCGGTGCCCGCAGTCTTGCCAGACGACTCGGTGCCCGCAGTCTTGCCAGACGACTCGGTGCCCACTGTTCCGCCAGTTGACTCGATGCCCGCAGTCTTGCCAGACGACTCGGTGCCCGCAGTCTTGCCAGACGACTCGGTGCCCGCAGTCTTGCCAGACGACTCGGTGCCCGCAGTCTTGCCAGACGACTCGGTGCCCGCAGTCTTGCCAGACGACTCGGTGCCCACTGTTTCCGCCAGTTGACTCGATGCCCGCAGTCTTGCC